TGTTTGTGATCATTTGGGTAAATGCCCAAAAGTGGGATTGCTGGGTCATAGGGGAGCTCTATGTGGAGTCTTTTGAGGAACCTCCATACTGCTTTTCATTTTTATTGTTATTATAAAGGCTATTACAAAGGGGTTACAGTTACATAAGCTGGATAATGAGTACATTTCTTTGTGGACAATGACAGTGGTTCCATCACTCTTACCTATCTTTCCCTCCATCCCTACATACAAGTTGTATTGTTAATTCTCAACATAATGCTGAAGTATTTTTAGTGGAAAATTATTTATAGGAAAAAAACAGATTTAGTGAATAGTCAAGAGAGGGTGTGGTTTAGAGTTGGCTAGAGTTTCAAAGAAGACAATAAGTCAGGATAAAACAAGTTCCTACATGATTAAAAATGTATGTGTTCATACATATACATCTTCCCAGTAAACATCACTGATTGTGGAGTTTCGGTTAAAAAAATTCTTGATTTTTTTGAGAAAAATAGAAGCAGAGCTTCTGATGGAAATTGAATTCTGATCTTTGTGGAAATTATAGCAAATTTCCCTAGTGAATATGATAGTTGGTGATCTTTATAAAGACAGTTTCATATGAAAGTGCTAATATTTTGAGTCTTTCTTTTAGATGGGTCTCTAGAAGCTATTATTTTTCAGGGTTGCACATTTGTAAGCCAGAAACAAGTAACTTAAAAGAAATAAAAAACCTGTCATTATTTCAGTTGGTACTCTGCCAAGTAAACTAGCACCACTGGTCTCATAAACATCCCTGTAGGGAGCTGATTGGGTGTTGTGCTTTTATAGATGGACATGTGCTTACTAATATCCAAATAGACAAATGTATAACTTTATTTTGGTCAATATGTACTTATTATCATAGCGTATAGACTTTAGGCTCAGAAAGAGTAGCTATTCAAAGCCTCGATCCTCTGTTTAGTATTCTCTTTCTTCAAGAAAGTTACTGACATCTATTTAGATTTATTATTTATCAAATAAAGATGATGCTCATTTTATAATGGCTGACACAGAATTAAATGTTGCAAAATTCTGACAGACTGAAAGTTGGGTGACAGCCATTGTTTTTCTAAGAATACTTCATATTTTTTCAAGAATGCCTTGCATTTGGGAATATATAATACATTAAGATATATAATTTATGTTTTCTACTGAAGATATCAAATAATTTCCTAACAGTAGCTTTTGATCTTGAAATGAAAATGTTAGGCTCTAGTTGCTAAGGAATGGAAGCCAAGCACAAATGAACAGAAACATTGATGCACTTCAAAAATTTGGTCTGGTGGAAAATGAATGTTCTTTAGACTAAGAACCTTGACTTAGTA